TGCAGAGTCTATGACAAAGTTGCACCTTTGGCCATCCAGCTTTCCTGTCACATAGACACTATGTGTGCTTGGCATTTTACACCTAGCTGTTTGGACTTTCACGATGGGGGTTGGTGAGTGTCCCTCAGCACCAATCACCACTGGTCTCCTTGAGGCCAACTTGTTGGTATTATTCTTCCTACACTGGCATCTCAAATGTCCGTGCTTTCCACAGTTCCAACAACCTTTCTGGATACCAGCCTTTGCTATTGTGGCACCTCCCCTGTGTTGAAGTTTCCAGCATTGAGCTCTCTTGTGTCAAGGTTTATTACAGTGCCAGCAAAGTCTCTCAAACCTTTCTAAAAGCTGACTCTTTTCAGGCCTTGAATCCAGATGACTGTACCAACCTCGGTACCTCTGTGCTGGACTTAACGTAAGATTCAAATTCGAGAGCTCTGGCCATTGCATCCTGCATGGAAGAGGGGTGTGCTTGCTTAACTTGTATCTTAAGTTGTGGACTGTCCAAGGCATCTACGAACTGATCCCTCAGCAACAACTTGAGGAGATCGGGTGGTGCAGTTGGATAGGCCTTGTGTGCTATGCTTTCCAACTCTTGCAGGCTCTCCCCTTTAGCACGGATTCTCGTCCTAAACCTAGGCCTTTAGACTTCTGACTGATTCTGGGTTCCGTACCTGAGTTCCAGAGCCTCTACCAGAGCTCTATAGTTGTGTCTGTCGGCTGCTGTCAACTGTCCAAGTATTTCCAGTGGTTGTCCCTTCAAGCTCGTTGCCAGATATACTGTTTCTGCTCCTCTGTCCATCCATTCATCTCTGCTAGTAGCTCGAATTGTGCTCTATATGCCTCCCACGGTGCCTTCCCATCGAATTCCTGTGGCTTCCTTTGCACTGGATCACTCCTATTACTGACATTCATATCTGGGATGTGACCTCTAACGGGACTGAATATGTCTGCATTAGGGTTTAGCTGCGGGTTCTCTAAGGGGCTTGCCATTGTCTGGGGCTGATTAAGTCGATGGTCAATGTATCCTCCTTGTGTAACACACAACAAATTGTTCTTTAACGTATCTAATTCGCTTTTAAATTTACTAATGTTTTCCGTTTGTACTTCTTGTTTCCTTTCTTGTTTCAGTTGCCACCGCTGTAGTCCCTGTTCTTGTTTATTTTCTCGTTCTTCTTGTTTCTTTTCTTTTTCCTCCAACCACTGCTGTAATTTCCCTTGATGTTTCTTTTCTTTTTCCTCTAACCACTGCTGTAATCTCTGTTCTTGTTTCTTTTTTCGTTCTTCTTGTTTATTTTCTTTTTCCTCCAACACTTGTTGTAATCTCTCTTCAACAGCAGTTGCAAGAAAACCTGCAACAGTGGCAGCTCGAACAGCAAAATAAACAAACAAGAAGAGAGACTTTTCTTTTTCCTCTAACAACTGCTGTAATTTCTCTTCTTGTCTCTTTTCTCCTTCTTCTTGTTTATTTTCTTTTTCCTCCAACAACTGCTGTAATCTCTCTTCTTGTTTAATTTCTCGTTCTTCTTGTTTCTTTTCTTTTTCCTCTAACAACGGCTGTAATCTCTCTTCTTGTTTAATTTCTCGTTCTTCTTGTTTCTTTTCTCGTTCATTTTCTCGTTCTTCTAGTTTCTTTTGCTGCTCCTGTATTGCTGCCATCAAGTCTGCTAAGTTGTAGTTTGATTTTCCACCTCTCGTTTCCTTTTTTTTCGTTCCACTTCTGACACCAATTTGTTACGTCTCCGTTTGTTAATTGATTTTCCGTAACTTCGTTCCGACGAAACGTTAGCGACATAAGTCCTTA